CCCAAATGTGCAATGAAGGTTACAGGGAGAAAGACCTGGTGAACATTAAACAATTGCCTGGATTCAAAATGCCTCCTCCTCACCTTCAAGCATGTCCCTGTACCCGAGTAATCATGGCTCTCATTTCCAAGGAAGAAATTCCCTTAAACCTCTATTGTTTATTCAGATTGTTTTATATTAAATACAAACTCCAAACTAGGTACAACTCCCTTATACATATTGATTTTAGAAAATATTTTTTATGTGAAAACACATTTATAAAATTAAGAGTAAACCAAAAAACGAAGACAATTCAATTTAACAATATTAATTTAATATGATGGATGGTGTTATTTTGTGGAAACTAAATTGATGCTTGTTGGGTTTTATGGTGAAAAGAAATAGCCTCATGTCTACTTACCATTTATCCTGTATTACCTTTTAATGATAAGGAATTGAGTCCAGCTGCACAGAATAAAAAATCAAATCGTAATGGCTAAAATAGATAGGACTATTCTGCCCTCGTTCCCCCAACAGGAAGTTTGGAGTTAGGTAGTCCACAATGTCCGAGCCACACCTCTGCAATCCCGGTGTCCTCTCCTTTCTGGTAGGTCAAAGATAGCTGCTCCAGGTCCAGGTTTGGCAGCATTGTTTTATGCAGGAAGAGAGGAAGAGGACAAAAGGGCACTTGCCAACTGAGTTGACTCTATTTTAACAAGTTTTTTTCAGTCACCACCCGGTGACCTCTGCTGTCTCATTGGCCACACACTGTGTCACATCCACACCTGGCTGAAATGGAACTTGGAAAATAGATCCCATCCTCAGGGTTGTATTATTGAGGGAAAAGGGAAGAAAAGATTTGGGGAAAGCAACATCAGGCTCTGCACACATTCCAAGGCCAATTTTAAGGAGTGATTTAGAAACACAATAGCTACCTCTATCACATAAAGACCAATTCATCCGAGAGGCATTGCTAAACTGTATCTAACAGGTTTGTAACAATGGTTAAAAAATTCTTCATTTCATATTGACTATCATGGTTACTGATAATGAAGTTTAACGTTTGGAGCTAAAAAAATCAGCTCCCTCGAGATCTTTCTACAGTTCTCTCTTATAACTATTGTAAAAATATTTATCCTTTCAGTATTTCACAGTAAGAAGTATCAAATGCGGGGAGAACATATGCCTCATACAATCCTAAATGCAAAAGAGAGTACCAAATATACACACACCTAATTTTAAAGTAGTTATTCAGATAATCCAGAATATTCCTATTTGGGGGGATTATAATCTACATGAAAACTCAGCATTTATTTTATTTTATTTTTTTAAATATATTTTATTGATTTTTCACAGAGAGGAAGGGAGAGGGATAGAGAGTTAGAAACATCGATGAGAGAGAAACATCGATCAGCTGCCTCCTACACACTCCCCACTGGGGATGTGTCCGCAACCAAGGTACATGCCCTTGAGCGGAATCGAACCTGGGACCCTTACGATGCTCTATCCACTGAGCCAAACCAGTCAGGGCAAAAACTCAGCATTTAAAGAGAATTCTGACACCCTTAAAAAAGGAGTCTGCAGTTTACTGTCTATGGGCCAAGCCCAGCCTGTCATTTATTTTTGTAAATACATTTAGTCACCACCCCTTATCTGAGGCTTTGCTTTCCATGGTTTCAGTTACTGACAGTCAACTGCAGTTCAAAAATATTAAATAGAAAATTCCAGAAGTAAACAGTTCATAAGTTTTGAATTGTGTGCCATTCTGATAGTGTGGTGAAATCTTGTGCTGTCCTGCTCCAGCCCTTCTGCCCTGTGCTTTGAGAGAGAATCCTTATGCTTCATCTTCCAATCTGCTTATTAGGTGTCAGTAATGATCATCCTTTTAAAAAAATTCATGTACTCCTTTTAGTTTGACAATCATGGTTTCGAGTTTTAGAGTGTGTGTGTGTGTGTGTGTGTGTGTGTGTGTGTGTTGCATCAGAATTCCGTAAGTGCTCAAACAGTTTTTGTGCACATGTTTTTCTTTTCTAGCACTTCTTGTTATGATAATTCACTCTCATTTTGCTGTTTCAAATGTTGGTGCCTCTCACATGGGCAGTTATTTTTCTATGGTGGCTCATTGGAAATCAGGTCTGGTTGCTGAACTATTGAAACAGCGCAGGCTCAAGCCATTTAATCCCAATGGTTGGTAAAGGAATAGTGCCTACAGTTTAAGGAGAGGCAGCCCACTAGAGGTACCTGAGGAAGCCTAGTGCTCTGTAATCTACTTCAAATCTCCTAGTTTCCGAAGTAGGAAGACCCACCTGTCTCCGTTAGGAAAACCCAGCACATTCAGAGGGATGGAAGGTCATCGTCACGGGGGTCTCAAGGTACCTGAAAGCCCATCTGTCCCAGTGATTTGTCTATTCCAGCCCGCAGCTTTTGCCCAGGGCCGATGCTGCTTTTCAGTTGGTTAGCCACTCACAGGCAATTTAGCTGTGTTCCAGTTGACTCTGATGTTACCCTACCGCAATCACTATCCGGCAGGTCTCAGCAGTGGCCTAATTTTAAAAAGTTAAGGGCCATGGAGTTGGACATAGATGGGAACAAGCCACAGTGAAATTTCAGAATATCCTGTATCCTCACTCATTCCAATTATCATTTATATTCTGATGACCCTCATTTATTATATCTCTAGTCCCTATCATTCCCCTGACTCACATATCCTACTTAATAGTTCAAGTTGGATATATATATATATATATATATCCTCTCCCATTAATCCTCACCAGTTAATCCTTGATTTTAGAGAGATAAGGGGGAGAGAGAGAGAGAGAAACATCGATCGGTTGCTGCCCACACGCACCCCAACTTGGGATCAAACCTGCAACCTGGGTATGTGCCCTGACCAGGAATTGAACCCACAACCTTTTGGTGTATAGAACAATGCTCAACTAACTGAGCCACCCGGCCAAGGCCAAACTGAACTTTTTGGTGGTTGTCCCCAGACCTAATTCTCTCCCAGCCTTTCCTGTCTCAGTGAATGGCATCACCACCATTTTCACAAGTTAATTGCTTGAGCCAATACCTTCACATTCATTCTTGACTTTTCTCTCTTATTTCTACATTCCCATCCCAAATGATGATCAAACCCCAGTGACTGTACTTTCTAAAAGTACCTAAACTGACCACTTCTCACCACTTCCACCTCTACCACTCATTCATACATTGTTTCTTTCCTGGTCTACTGCAGATGTCTCCTGACTGCTCTCTATGCTTCTGTTCTTGCCTTATACAGTTAATCTCTACTTGAGGCCCACTGCATGAATTCGTGCATGGGTGGGGTCTGGCTGGCCTGCCCTGATGGGGGCTGATTGGGGATGGGGCTGGCCGGGGGAGGGACCGCGGGCAGTTGGGGGTGCCAGTGGGGGCCCACATCGGGCCAATTGGCCGCTGCAATACACCTCATAGCAACTAATCGTTCTAGTTGTTCTTGTCGTTTCACTGTTCCAGTTGCTTGGCTTTTATATACTAGTATATAGATAAGCGACAGCAGTCTTTTTAAAAAGGTAATATGTTGCTTCTTTCCAAAGGATTCAAAGAAAATCCAAACTCTATGCCATTGTTTATAAGGTCCGTCAGGGTCAGGAGCCAACTGCATTCCAACATTATTATCATTAGTAGTAATATTACTACTGTTTTCATCTCACTGCACTTCACTCACATTAGCTTCCTTATCCTTTTAACTGATATTGTAACTATCTCATCTCAGGATCTTTGGTCTTGCTGATCGCTTTGTTGAGAAGAATCTTCCTCTACATTTTCTCATAATTCCCTTTCTCATTAAATTTATGACTTGCTCAAATCTGTCCAACTTGCCTAACATAAAGACTGTTCCTGACCACTCTATGAAATGTATTTTCCCCTATATTCCTTATTCTGCCTTACCTTGTTTTAGTGTTTTTAATAGAACTATCACCACTGGAACCGTATGCTTGTATATTGTCTTCTTCCAGGCAGCCTCTATGAGGGAATGACTTTAATTCACTGCTACATCTTAGAGCAGTGCTGGGTACATAGTAGGTGCTCAACAAATAATATACACAAAATGACATCTTCACCAAATTTGAGTTGGGTTTTTAAATGAAAAAAGGAGGCAAACACATGAATTTTTCAGAAATAATCATGATTCTCAAAGTATTGCTTTTTTCATTTCTACTTTTAGTCTTCTGTGTAAAAAATGTAATAAACTTTATATTCTTGCATATGCTTTAAATGTCAGTTAAAATATTTTTATCTTATTTTCCCATAAAAATACTTATTAGTTAACCTGACATATTTTTTTATTTTTAAGTATGGTTTATAGGAAGACGAGTTACAAACTGTTTTCATAACCAGCATCAAAAATACTATATAGAACCAAAATAAAAAAATTAGTCTGAAAAAGAAACGTTTTTAACAAAAAAATTGTTGGGGAAGGGGTTAAGAACAAAATTCCATCTTACCTGTAACTTATTCCTTGATAATATATTTATTATCAAATTCTTAATTTGTGTTTTATGTTAAAATAAACCTTATAAATTTATATAATGTCAAGACCATTGGTGAAAAAGGAAGAAACTAATAGAAGTAGGAACTTTTTCTTGACATTTATTTTCTTGTACGTTAATACAGTATTCTTATCTGTAGGGAAGACCATTTTAAGGTTTGATGGTAAGGAGGACAGAACTCATTGGTACAGTCACTTGCCATTTTGCTCACATTTCTGAAGGGTCACTGTAGCTGTCTCCATGGTGGGCAGTAGCGAACAGTGCAGCTGAGGCTGTGACAAGCCCACATAGTCATATGCCGTTGGCAGCCAGAGAGTCTCATCAAGTCGGCGCTGGCCCCTGTTCTCAGGCACACATACAGACACCTGTCTCCGGCATAGTACTTTATCATCCCTAAACTATTCTCTAGCAAGCTACTTAATCAGAACTTTTAAATGGTTGACTTTGATAATTAAGAAATTAATTTCGTTTTATTTTTCTTTTTTCCAGGTGCATGGTGGCTGATGAAGTAAGTGTTTCCATGACTTGTATGTCTTTTGTTAAATGTCACAACCAATTTTTAGTGTCTACTATTTACCATATACTCTCTGTCTCTCCATATGACTATATTTCTATAGATGGAAAAAAGGAGAGGGGGAGACAGAAAAAGGTGGGGAGGGGTGCAGCCAGGAGAATAACAATGAGAATAGCCCTGGCCAGTGTAACTTGGTTGGAGCCTCATACATATACCTAAAGGTTGCAGGTTATGTTCTGGAGTTAGGGCACATACCTAGGTTGCAGGTCCATTCCCAGTTGGGGCATGTACAGCTCATCAGTATTCTCTCTCACACTGATGTGTGTGTCTCTCTCTCCCGCCTCCCTTTTTTCCCCTCGCTGTAAAATTAATAACCATATCCTTGGGTGAGGATTTTAAAAAAAGAATGTGAATAAATGTGGGTGTGTGCAAGTGTATGCAAGGTGTACACTCGGAACATGTTATTAATATTAGTGATCCAAAATTCTATATGGTTAGCCAAAGAAGCTTGAATGTGCTTTGAAATGCAGTCCCAAATGAAATAACTATTTTCTACTTGTCATAATACTGCTTGCTAGAAGCTAAACTTGGAAGATTTTTCTCTAAAGGTTAATTGTTTCATATAAAACTTAATGTTAAAATAGTATTTATTATCACTAAACAATATGATACATTTAAGTGGCATGCACTTGTATATATTCATACTCATGTTTTCTCATTGAAAGGAAAATTCTTGTTATATAAACAATGATACTCTTTTCCTTCATTCTCAGAGTAATATTTATCTACACTAATGAAAGACAAAGATGCTAATTGACCGTACCTTTGCTATGCCCATCAGCCAATCAGAAGAGTATGCAAATTAACCCAACAAAGATGACCGTTAAATTTGCACACTGCAGGCGGGGCGGCACAGCGTGAGCTGCCGCCTGCCCCACCACCATCAGGGCCTGCCATCTGCGACCCAGGGCGGTGGAGCAGGACAGCGCGAGCTGCTACCGACTCCGCCACCATCCGGGCCTCCCGTGTGCGACCTGGGGTGGCAGGACAGGCAGTGTGGGATCCGGGCCTGCCATCTGCAACTTGGGGAGGTGGGGCAGAGAGTGTGGGATCTGGGCCTGCCATCTGCAACCTGGGGAGGCAGTGCAGGTAGCGCCAGACGCCGCCCGCCCCGCGGGATCGGGCATGCCATTTGTGACCTGGGGAGCAGGCCTAAGCCAGCAGGTGGTTATCTCTGGAGGGGTCCCAGACTGTGAGAGGGCACAGGTCGGGCTGAGGGACCCACCCTCCCAGTGCACAAATTTTTGTGCATCAGGCCTCTAATATATATACATATATATAAGGCTAAGTGTCTGTCGTCTGACTGGTAGCTATGATGCACACTGACCACCAGGGGGAAGACGCTCAATGCAGGAGCTGCCATGGTGCGCACTGGCCATCTATAAATAAACGGCACCATGGACCTGGTGCCAACAAACCAACACCCAGCTTCCCCCAGTGTGACACAGGCCCCACCACCACCCCAGAGTGACAGCCCACCAGATCGCAGCCAATGCTGCCAAGACCCTATGGCGCAAAATGCAGCCCACAGCCCAGCCCAGCCTGGAAACGGTGGCTGTGGGTGCCCGATAATGACTTCAGTAGATAATGACTTCACGTAGCAATGCCTGGCTTCCTCTCTCCCTTCCTCTCTCCCAAGGACTAGCCTCCTTCGAGTTTCTTCAGCCCAGGAACTCAACTTGCTTTATGGCCAGGTGCAAACATTTTACAGCTTAACCAAATGTTTGTGAAGTGTTTTCACATGCCTCATCTCATTTTATCCTCACAGAGTCTGGAGTAGGTAGATAGGAGATTTGGTAGAATCGTATTTTCTTTTCATTAGCAAGATGCAAATAGCGATATTAAAATATTTCTTCTAATTAATTTCCTTTCAGTGTGCACAGATCTGTGCACCGGGACACTTTTAGTAAATCAATAAAGTTCTAATTTTACCGTCAGTTTGAGAAACGTGCTGCTCCTTTCATGATACCTTTAAAGCATATGTTAGCAAAACATATACACTTAAAACAATAAAAAAAAGAGAAAATGCCTACTGAATTTTAAAAAATATAGGTGGAACCATAAAAGATTCTGTCAACTAACTGTTTTTTGGTTTTGGTTACATGTAGATTCACCAATGGTTTGTCTTTGTAGTCTCTTCTTTAGAGGGGGAAAAAAAGATTAAGATGTGAAAGGGTTTCTTGGGTCATGCTGATATTTACCTAAATTTTTAGTTTGAATTCGTTATTCTATAGACATTCGTTGAGACTAGATGTTATAGGTAGAAACATAGTCATTGCCCTTGAAGGACTTTGACAATACAATTGAAGAGATAGAACAGACATTTGGGAAATGACAGAAATTTCCATTTTGGAACAGGATGAATTCCAAAAGGCTCTTAATAAAATAATAAATTTGAGAACCTAAAATAACTGAAAGAGGTATATGTTTTACTCTCTGAATATGTTTGCATTCAATAGGAATATAAACTCATCACCCAAAATCTCAATATTAGGCCTAACCATTCTATATAACATCTGTAAAAATATATTTGTGGTAATTTATGGATGTGTATATTAATAATTTCTGTAACAGAACAGGTTTATATTTACAGAAAATATATTATAAAAGGTAACGCCATCTTAATAGTCTCCACAAGCAACTTTTGGGGAAAGTCAGCAGCTATGGCATGTCATTGCTACTTTGTTCTTCATTTTGATATCTTAGAGCAGGGGTAGGGAACATCTGGTCCATGGGCTGTATAGGGCCTGAGAAATCATTTGGTCTGGCCCTGCCAAGGCATTAGTAGGGGTGAGTTAAATGTTTGACCAAATATAGCAGGCTAATTTTTAAGTTGATAATTTTGTATGGCCCTCAAATGATGTTATGCTATCCATCTGGCCCTTGGCAAAAAAAAAAAAGGTTCCCCACTCCTGTCTTAGAGATGTGAATAGGCCTTAAATCTATGGAATCTTTCATGGGTTGAAATAAACACTTAATCAGTACCGTAACTCTTCTATTTTCCAACAAACTTGTATCTTCTCCTCAGTTAACATTAGACTAAGGATTATGGAGAGTTCATGATGAACCCTTAGCTAGCAAGAGGTTTTACATTATTGCTTTTCCTCAGTTTCTTTTATTTACAGTCACATAGTACTTGTCCCATGTTGAGTGATTTGTGATCTTCCTTTCAAAGCCTTCCTTATTTTTTAATTTAATTAACTTAAAAGAACCATTTAATATTTCCTCAATACTTAAAAAGCAATTCTCCACGTTTGTGTCCATCATAATTACATCTCCCTTTTCACCAGCATTTTAAAGATTCATTCTTTTACACCTATTCGACTTTCTGCGGCTTATTATATGAAATCCTGTTAATAAAGAACAAAATCCTCAACTTTACAAATGAATACAAAAACAGGCTACAGAAATAAACAGTATTATGTACAAGTCTAAGATCCCCACCCACAATCACTGATGTCCTCTGGTAGTGGTAGAGTTAAAATGCTATTTTTATGAAATCTTTACTGAGCTAGTATGGATAGAAGTTAGTTAGTAAATTAAAAGTATTGAAGTGGAAAGAACTTGTATGTATGTAAATTATATGAACTCTGGTTTGACCTTCATTCTGTTTCCTAATTCTGTTCTCTTTCTCTTGCTTTTATCACAAAATTGTGGTGAAGTCAGAGAAGGAAATGCTGTTTATAATTTGGAGGTCAACCACTTTTTGATTTTCAAATTAAAAAATATAGTTTGATATGATGACTGTTTGACTCATCAAGTCTCTAAAAGCCTTAGGAGAGCAATTTTGCATCTCTGTTATTGAACTTCCTTTTTTTAGATGCTTGAATACCCACTTGGAGAATTGTGTAATTTAGCTGTCTGCTGTGATGTTTCCTCCTGGCTTTGAAAACAAATGGCTTCTTTCACTGGTATTACTCCCCCTTCTTCTACTGTTTTTTCACTATTATCTTTTTCTAATCTATCCAATCTTTGTGGAATTATATAATCTACTGTGTATAAAGTAATTATTAACTTTAATTAGAATGATGATTTAAGTGCTGTTTAATTGTCTAAGTGTGTGATCATTGTGTATTTCAGTTATAAAACAATACTTCAAATAACCAACAGAGCTATAACTTTTAATAAAATTAATTTTGCAACATAGATTTACCTGTTTTGTTTTTTAAAAAAGCCTCACTGAAGGATATGTTTGTTGATTTTAGAGAAAGAGAAAGGGAGAGAGAGAAAAAAAAAATCGATGTGAGAGAGGAACATTGATCAGTTGCCTCCCATTCACGCCCCTACAGGGTATGGAACCCTGACCGGAATCAAACAGGCAACCTTTTTGGTGTAGGGGATGACACTTCAACCAACTGAGCCTCCCAGCCAGGTCTAGCTTAAACTGCTTTAATTACTTCTTTTCTCCCCTTCTTGGTTTAATGCAATTGTTTCAAGGGCTATGTAGTGAATGTACAGAAACTTGTGAATTCATATTCCATAAATGATGGACTTCAGACCATAGTCTGTAGTCAGGCTGTTGCACTATTATCTTAATTGCTTTCAATAATTACTTTTGAACTACTGTGTGCTTGTTTTGTTGTTCTCCAGTTGAAAATTATTGAAAATGTTTATTCATAAAAGATTTTAATAGTGAAAAATAATTTCACATTAACACAAACCAGGTAATTTAGTTGGATATATATGGGGGAAAATATTAAAACTACACACTTCCTACCTTATTTGTCAAGTGTTGAAAGGCTATTATTCTTTATAGAAACTTAGTATTTAGAAAACTTTATAATGTTAGTTATAAGAGGAGTTTTTACTTAGCGAGATGGGATTACCATCTTGGATTTACATCAATAGCCAGTAGTGTGTCATAATGGACAAAACTTCATCAGTACATGGATTCCGTATTCTCTTGTTTATAGTGTCTATTATCAAAGTCAGAA